TGGACGCAAATGATCGACAGTGTGAACATGTGTACGAGCTACAAATCTATGGCAAAAGTAGTGGAGTCACTCAGTGCCAGACTCGATGGGAATTCACAGAGTAAATCAGATCAACATTGCACTAATTTATGAACGAATTTGGTAGGTATTGAAAATAAGCAGCGGAGGAGGAACAGACTTTTCTCCAATATATGATTCAGATTAGACTAGATTAGATTCGTCCTGAATGCATATATACACCCGGGGAGAAAATAAGTGCACTCCCACCCCCACCACCGTAGCGTTTTGGGATTTTCTGCCCTGCAACATATGTGTGATCATGACCGTGTTTGGGAATTTAGACGGCAACCGAAAGAAAGGCCGAAAAACGAAATTTCGTCAAATTATCTTTTATTTCAAACGAAAAATGTCCAAAAATAAACGAATTTTCACTACGACCAAAGTCATGCACTTCCTATGGATGTTAGCCCCCGAAACCACTTAATTTATTACTCGGTAGAGGATTTCGAATTATGTCTGCATCAATGGCATTCCATTTCCCAATCAAAAATGCCTCAAACTCGTGTTGGTCGATGTAAACTCTAGAGTGATGATGCACCTTTCCAGTAAGAATAGCTCAAATATTTTCTATGGGGTTGAAATTTGGGCTTCAGGCAGACCACCGCATTGTTTTACATGCCGTGAAATAATAACTAGCATTTGGTCGGGTAAGAATCACAAAAACCTGTCGATCACTAACTCACTGGGATGTCCATCGCACCGGTTTCAAAACCGCGTTGTGTGAGTGAATTCCATGAGAGTGCAATATATTTCGCCCGGTAAACATTCGGTTTTTCAACATATTTTCGTGAAAACTAAAGACAATTTGACATAATTTCAGCTTTTCATTCATTTTAAGTCTAGATTCTCAAACAGGGTGATGTTCGTGCATGTTGCAGCGGAGATAATCCAAAATTCTAGGGGGGAGGGGTTGCCGCACTTTTATCGCGGGGTATATACATTTCCATGATTTACAGACAAGCATGGTGCGAATATCCTCCACTCCCCGGTAGTTCGTCAATCAAGACGGACTGCTAGTATTTAGAATAGAACGTGAAGACTTTCGACCATCAAACCGATCGTGCAAGCATTTGGATGTTATGTGCTCTGCCTCAGACACCGTATGCAGTCGACACATCGATTATAAGGCCATCGACATTTACGGGAAGTAGATGTGAAACGACCAAAAGAGGACTGCTACAGCCTACCTCGGGCCAGATAACGAATGCGGCAAGGTTGGGTCGGATGCTACGCCCAGAAGTAGGTCATAAGGGCACAGTAATTACTCCAAAACGCTCTGGGATGCAACATGGGGATAGTTCAAAAATTGATGTGGATAAAAATGCACGGAGTGAAGCAATGCATTGTCTGATTTGAAGATTGGAATGGAAATAGTTTTATTAGGAAGGTCTTGCGGGTTAGGATACCATTGAAAGGAATCACTATCCTCGACTGTTATTGTCGATCTGTTCGGATATAGAACGCAACTTTCAATAGCAGTACCCGGAGCCACTGAACCAGTGCAATCATACGTGCAAAATCCACCATTCCGGTTTTCGTTCTTCGTGGAAGAAATCAGAGTAATACAACTTCTAAACAGGATTTCGCCTCAGTTCACACCTATCACCTTGCACGATTCTGGTCGCTGTGGCGTAATGTTTGAACATTCGATTATCCAGCTTACAACACTGATTTAAGTTCTCTTGTGATAGTTTGCGTCATCTTGAACAGAGACGAGATATTTGTGCATTGTTGAAGAAGCGAAACCAGAAATCGTTTGTCATGGGGGAAATGTCGGATGTTTAGCACGGATTTNCTAAAAACTGGGGAGCGCAGCATTAGTTAAAAAAGATTCTTCCACATCAAATTAGGTAGCCCCGATAGGGTTTCACAACTCCCCGGAAGACGTGATGCGATCAATAAGTAAAAGTGATTGTGACAACACTCAATATCCTGCCCAAATGATCAATCGAAAATAGCATATTTCTATTTCGAAAACTCGTTCAGATAAGTGGGGGACTTAACAGCACTTTGCGTGCCATACAGCTTCATTCATAGTGATGCAGTTAATCAATTTTTATATAGATTTGAGGCAATCGTCTTCGGTGTGTATGGAATATGTTGCATTCTCTCTTCTCAGACAGTTGTGTCATTGGCTTGCATCAAGAATAATGAACCATCGTCCCTACAATGAACGAATTTCGAATGTACCCCGTAAACTGGGGTACACAGTTCACGCAAAGCACACAAAAGAGTTTCTATGGTCTTTAGCTGAAACTGTAGACCAATATGTAGGAAAGTGACGGATTTTGTTGGCAGTCACTTTTGGGGTATACCAAACAATTTTTACAAAGTCCAGAAACTGGTCCTCATGGATGGGGGCCGAAATTGCGATGACCTTCAAGGGCAATTATGCATCGATTTGTTGCTCGGACAACTTGAACGCATTCAACAACAACAACTGTGCAATTTATGCATTCGAAAGTTGAAACAGTCTCTAGATAACTGGTTATATACACCAATCATATTTTAATAGGCATGATAAAATATCATTCAGGGACTCACTGCACAGACTTCATATGTCAGAATTGCTAGCCACGGGGATATTAAACGACCATTTTCGTCAGGTAGATTTTACTCGACCAATCGTAGATCTGCGAAAATAGCAAACAACCACTTGGCATTTTTCTACACACAGTACCCGCAAGCAGTTTGAATACACCTGCATCTTAGTTTTGCAGATAGCACTGGACAACTCATGTGCACAATTAGATCGCAACGATGAACATTTTTTTTTGGGGGGGGGGGTTAAGTAGGTGAAGAAATTATTCATATCGTTTGAGAATGGTATGCAATCTGACTGAGCTTGGGCGATACAATCAGACAGACACTGTCCTGTGAACTTTCACAGGCTGCCTCAGCAGAAGTTGAATCAGCTTTGAATTGGGTTCGCAGTGCGTGTGGAGGACATAGAGCAGATTTGATCACGTACACATTTACTGGTCAACGAACATGTGCTTCCGAGAAACCACCCCTTACCCCGCCCCCTAAGAACTTCCGACACTGGTTTCCAGTGCCAGCTCCTTTTTTGACGGTTTTGGCCTACTGAAAATATCAGATCCGTCAAGTCGCCATTCCACTGTGAAGTATGAAAATCATACACCACAGGAAACAGCATTGTTTCATCTCGGTGAGATTGAATTCTAGTTGTTAAATAACTACATCAAGTTAATTCACAGGTGTGAGATTATATAGTTGGTCACACCAGGAATTTTTGGATCGAAGAAAAGGACTCTGATTTCTTAGAAAAGAAATGGTATTTTATTAGGAAAACAATCACTGGGTCCACTTTTTTCAATTCTTTGGAACAGAGAGAAGAGACATACTGTAAGATATTACCATTTCTTTTAATCTCTTCAGCCGATACAAAGTAAAACAATCCCTAGAACCAATGTTAGCTCACGTGCTTCTAGGACTGGTGGAAAGACAATTTTAGGAGAATATTTCAGAACCAGTTTTGCACAGACGTTGTTCTTTACCGATTGTGATCATTTTAACGTTTTTCATACTATTTACCCCAATCGCTCGGCCTCCATTGAGGATAGATGTTTGAATACTTTAGAAATGAGAATCAGGAGGCGATCAGATGGGACCTTACAATGATCCGCCTACCAGGAGTGGACAATACGAACAATTTTCTAGTTGTGCCCTTGTGGCGTACAAGAGGTATGGTGAAAACTGTTCCGCGATGCTCCTAACTGGCTATTTACGAAGGAGAATACTGGGTAACGGTTGTCCAGAGAAATTTATCAATGTGCATGCCAGGCGAAGGACACCGGCTGATCCCAGGCTCCTAACCTTAAGTGAGGCGATTTTAAACAAGTTACACAATCCAACTTTGTGTACAAAAGTTTCTACCGTAATTGATCAAATGTCCATTGGACTGATTTCTTCCCTTTCACCTGACTGTCGTCCGCTATGACACTGAACAAATACCAGATTGTTTAACATTGAGGGGATTCGAGAAAATGATAACATCTCGCGGTAATCGTCATTTCTCTGCTCAAAAGCCTTTTTGCAATCCGCTACGTCTTTCCGAAGAATTTTGAATGATGATGAGTAAGGGAACCACTGAACTATACGTAAGCTTCGATATACACACAGTTACTATCTAGTCGCTGTCTTTGGTATGACTTCGAGCCCTAAAATCCGATGTTTAAACTTCAGTACACATGCTATCGACTTTGGCCCCTTTGCTGTTGTCGGGGTTCGATAACAAGTTAACCTAATTGCTGACCTAGGTAGTTCATGAATCCAAGGACCGGGTTAACCGGTTGCTGTAGATGATCCGAAGGCACATGTGACTACTACTACTTTTCGTCACAATAAGATGTGGAATGAAAAGCGATTATTGGTGTACAGTGTGGAGATCAGAAGATGAATCGTAACGGGAAACCGGTGTTGGAATTTCATTCAGTTGGATCATTTCATCCTATGTTAAACAATAAACCATCCATTGTTGTGTTGATTGTATCTTGTTAAACACAAAACGCCCGGTCCCTGTTTTGTTTAATCAAAAGTCGTTTGCAAAAATTTATATTTGATCAGGATGTGATCCATGGAAAATTTCGTGCTAAAACTAATCGTGGCATTAAAGTCAGACAAAAAAAAAAGAATCGAAATTAGTTGTGTTTTTGAGAAACATCAGATATGGGGACGGTGGTGGGGAAAGTAGGAATGAATGAATATTTCGTGAGGCAAAATAGATCCCGGTTGAGGCATCATAATACGAAATTGTAAACCAATGATACAAATTAAGCGTTTTATTGATCAAGCCCTCGCCCAGTTGTGACACTACGAAAAATTGTCAGTGAGTTGAGTAATCACAAGTCTATGACAAAAGTGTTTCTGTGCGTGTGAATGGATTGATTGACTTTTTGATTGACCGAAAGACCGTCGGTTTAAGAAGCACGTGGAGTGAAACCGTTTTTCTGTGGCTCGTAAAACTGTTCCACCATTTGGTCAATCAGTTCTTGCAACTCAGTCACCAAAGATTCTTCAGACCGACTGAAAATAATAGAAACGACAAACAACATAAATATGCTGTAATAGGCCGAAAATTTATGACAATCCGCAAACGGGATGCATAACATCTGGTTGCGAGTTTTGTGGAGCTGGACTTTTCGTGCTTAGGAAGCTTTGTGTCTCGTCTGTTTAGGAATGCATCCAATACACAGCACCGAAATACACACGACAAATTCAAAGATAAGTAGATCAAGTTTTAGATAGTTTCTTTCCTAAAAGAAGAATAAAGAAGTTCTACAGTAGCTCTTTCTAGTTAAATTACAACTCGTGCAATCAATAACCGTGAGTTTCCATTGCGTTAACTTCCGCTGGGAAACCAATTTGGTCAACCAGTGAAAAAGGTAGAGAATAGACAAAAGAATAAGCGTAGGTTATCAGGACAAAGGTACGAAACATGCCCGAAATTCGATGAGTAATAGGGGGGAATGTACAAGCATTACCCAATCCGGCTGATATTAGTGACCTTTGGTCTTCGTATTGATTGATTTCCCTTCCGCGTCTGTCTTCGCCTGTCCCCAAACCTGTCACTCTTTTAACCAAACGTGATCTGAATGTACGTACATAGCTGATGAGATTACCACGAAATACTTGAATTCAACAAATCCTGTGATCATGATGCTTCTTCTTGCTCTCATGCAATATTTCATCGTCTGATGACATGTATATATCGCCGGCTTGCAAATAAGTATGGTGCTAACGTAACAACAATAATAACAGAAGATGAAAGACTGGAAAACGGAACAGAACAACACAGGAGGTAAACATGTACAGTTGATTAAAATGACAAGAATATCACGGTTTTTTGTGTCATCATACACTTTTTAATTTTGTTTTGTAAGCGGTAGTTTATCTTTTAATGAGGTGCGGGAAGGACGGAGGTACCATCGGTTTATATTCTGAGCCATAATTCTCAGCGTCTTTAGTCATCGGGAATCTTTATCCCATACACCCCAACCTGGAAGGCGGGTTGCACCAACTGAGGCCGATCCGGAAACCAGCTTATAAACACTGATGCATCAGATTACGGTCTGATCACCACGACTTCGGATCTCTTCACAAAGAAACAGATGTCGCAGGTTGTCAAAATTTGCTCTAGCTTTTGCTATTCGTGACGTGACCTCCTCCCTAACACCAATTTCAACTGCGATCAAACTTCCGATCTACTTGGAGCTCTCAACTAATTCTAGCTGATCAGGACAAAAGGGTGAGTGCAGGCATAGACTCCTCCCAGTCTGGGACAATCGCTTGGTACTTGGATGGTCCTACAGTTCGTACGATCGTCTGAAGAACCCGATAGGAGTGAACTGAAAGAGTAAAGATGGAGAAAAGTTTAGGAAGCAGGAAGGTGGTGTAGAATGATTTACGTTAGTCAAGGAAAACGTTGAGTGTGGATTCGAAGAAAGAAAGTTCATAGTTGTGGGTTATCGTACTACTACTATTGCTACTCGGTCACCCAGTTCAGAGTGGACTTTGTTTAAGGATGCACTCAAGCCTTTGCGAAAACAAACGTGAGCTGCACGACGGCAGCATTGATCCAGATGGGCCGATAGTCAGCATTTGGTTCATTCGCCTCTTCTAGAAAACCTTGTCAAACATCGTTTCTTGATGAAGGGACTGAAGTCTGTCCGCAGAAGTGTGGAACTTCGTGCAGAGAACCCTTATTAAGAGAAGAACCCACCACATCTTCAAGCACTGCCGCTGATCACACGTAACTGCTTATTCGATTCGGTTAACCGCGCAATGACGGGCGTTCCCCAATCCGCAACCCGGGGGCGCGCTCGATAGCATACTACACTTCTCTCCTGTCATTGACAGGCATTAAGATAGTTGCACTGGACAAAGTGAGGTCTGAGATAATCTTTCACGGTGATATGTGAACAGCGCTTTGCCTTGGTAGATTTCACATTATAATGAAGCACACCAAGAGTCTCCTTGCAAGTAAATAACATTAAGAACGGGGATTTTGGATGGATCCCCGTTAGTGATAGTCAACAACAACGGAATCGACCCGAGGTCAGTGACGAATCGAATGAGGAGGTTACAAATTGAGACTTCTTTCCTGGAAAGTTGATGCCCGTCAAAAGCAGAACCCATGATCTGCACACAATTGGGGAAATGCGGTCGTCGATATCTACTAGGTTTTTGTAGAAAACAATCGGAATTACACACCCTCAGACAGACCCCATTTACACCTGCTGTCTGACTTGGTGTGCATTTGTGTCCGTTTGAGCTCAGCATTAAATCGCGAAAGCAGAATGCAACCAGAACGGTCAATGGTCATGCATCAACTTACTTGCTGCTCGGATCCGAACGCATTTCTGAGTAGAATTTAATCTTTGGTTCCGTTCCACTGGTTCGAATGGTCAAGTAAGTACCGTTGTCGAATCGGAATGTGATACAATGACTTGATTTGCTCACGGGTAGATGCTGTTGGGGAGATGAATAAGAAAAAGTCGGGGCATTTTGTAGGCAATGTAGAAAAAGAATAAAAATACAACAAACACACAAGTTGTGAAACTTTCAGACTGGGGACTATGCGGAGAGGATTCTCACAAACCCTAACCACCGATTGCACGCGGAACTGACACATTGTCGTTCCCATTCAACCACACGCTCTGAATTCGATCTCCGCATAAACGTTGACCGTAATCCACTTACACATTATTCTGGACATTTACTCACACGAAGGAAGGGAACTAAGTGGACTTCGTCTTAATCTTGGACTCTGAAATGCCCCGACGTTGTCGTTAAATTCCCCCTCCTCACATTTAACATGGTCCGGGTAGGCTTCAGTGCTTGTAAAAGTTATACACAATACAACATTAAGCGGCAGAGTACAGAGATGCCAAAAACAAGAACGGAACGTGATGACATTGATGCGATTGAGCTCTGAACGAAAAAGCCGCAGCTTCAGTCGCGAATCAACGGGCTTGAGTTCGCCTGACCTGGAAAGGAAGCAAGTCGAGACAACCAGAAAACCAAAACTGAGATTAACCATGAGGTGTGAAAGGAAAGAATCGAGCTACCTCCGATCATAAAAAAGACTATCGGGCACAAATGCAACAGGCCTCAATTGCTGCCTGAGCGACGGCATCCGTCTGTGTATCCGCACCTACATGCACAGACGAACTCGGTCACCCCGACCGCAATTAGTGTGTTAGCCTGTAGCTTTGTAAAACCGGCAAGCCTCATAGTTGTTGTGATCCTCGGACCGTCGTTTGGTTTTTTCCACTCACCCTGAAGATGAGGGATTGGTTACAATCGCGCATTCACACAACTGCTAGATTGTGATGATTGGTGAAACGTGTCACCCACGCCATTACACGCTTACCGGGAGACAGGTAGCGGTTAAAAAGAGGCCAAGGGTGTTCAGGTTACGATATAAAGTGATCATGTTAACGGTACATTAGGCTTTATAATTAGGACTAAGCTTCATCACAGTTGGTGATGTGACTGAGCGGCATAAACAATGGCACTTATGAACCCACTCGGTTTCCCACTCTTCTCATATGCGTAAATTTTCTTATTAAACCGCTCTCCCGAAAGTTTTTATCTGTTGTTTTCCCAAGTAAGAGAGTCAGCTAGTTTTCTAGAAGATGATTAGTAGAACCTCAGAAAAATGGTGGATGTTTGGATTAGCCCATTCGGTTTTTCACGGGCACCAGGCCCTGTTGATGATGTATGCTAACGAGGCCCAAACAGGACGAAACAGCCGTCCGGTGCTCTTTGTTTGTTATCACAAACATTTCCATCGTGTTGTTGTTGTTGTCGTTTATATCATCAAAATACAACTCAAACGATAGGGGAAAAGTTTAGATTCAGGCACTAAACGCAACTACCGGAAGACGGTCATCATTGGATGCAATCAAAGAAATGAAGAATAAAGCAGGGACGCGGTACACAACCGTCTCATCCATGGACATCGGGCTGGTCACGATCTCACGATATGCTGTCTGTGCTCTCAGGTTTGTATGGATGAAAAGCATGCTGCTCCAACACACTGTCACATTTTTCTTCTTGTTTATGCTTGCCTGGGCTCGGCCAAATGTGTCAAACAAATCACTGCATGATTTGCTTATGGACGAAATATTGCCCGGTTGCTCAAGTCAAACATCGCATATGATAATCACTTGCATTGCGTGGATCACACACAAACATAATCACCGAAAAAACGGAATGAATGATAAAATAAATCAAATTGCAAAGAAATACAATTTTTCTTGGAAAACAACGATCTATTCAGAAACCAAATAGTACACAGCTGATCTGAAATGCATAATGACAGATGTGATTTATCGAACTCGAAAAAAAAAACGATCACTTCTCACTTATTCCATACATCACTAGAATGTGTGTCCCTACACACGGAGGGAATTCAACACATGATGAAGATGATGATGATGTTTGATCACTCAGGAGTTTGCTATTCATGAAATGATCCCCACCACCCATCACTTGCAGGTGTGAGTGAACTCCTAAGGTAGTAAAAGTTAATGGCTATTTCCAGTAGATTCCCACAGAGCGTGAGTGTACGCACAGCCTCCTGCCAGTCTGTCAAGAGTATTGTATCGATTTGATTGGAAAAATTAATCACGCCACAGATTTTGCTCCGGTTCGGTTCGATTAACTATGCATCCGTGTGACCCATTACACAGATAACCTTTGACATTTGCCCATCATCATGCCTCGATTTTGTCCGACGGCATACTTTGTACTCTGTTGTTATTGTTCTCATACCGCCTCTAAGCGTTCCTGGTCCCACTCATTTGTGCGTCCTCTACCCTAATCGCCCTTGAACACTCTCTGGTCCACGCTTGCCATTCCCGGGAGTCATTACATACGAACTACCCCGGATCCGTTCCCCCATCCACGTTTTCGTTCTAGTACATTGTCATCCCGTCCTCTTGATGTTGACCTTCATATTTGGTCATTCGCTTCACTTGCTTAGCGGACTGCTTTGTTCCCTTGGGTTCCCGTGAACCGTTTGTGTGTCTTGCATTAACCAATGACTGCGCATCTTTATCGAGCACTTGCGATTGCTTACCGACTTCTCGTTATCTGGAATCGGACTTGGNCATAACACATACCACATCCGAATACCTCGATCGCCAAGAGTAGATTGAGCTACCTGTGCGTTGTTACACAACAAGGCGATCATCGGCATAACTCACGCCACAGCATTCGATCCTAGAGTTAAGTTTGCTAAAAACCGGTATAGGGATATGGACAAACCTTTCGTACTCCATTGGAGACGAAAACCGGTCAAAGGCCCTAACCCGACCTGAGGTAAGAGGATGACCACATGCATCTCAGATACTCCATTCTCCAGCAAACGGTTCAATGATACAATTCTACTGATGGCATCAAAGTACGCAGGAATGTCTGAGAACACAACGATCATTGATCTGAATTTCGCACCGGTGACAAATAGGCGACCTTCAGAGCATTGAGCCAACAGCCATCCTCCGTTGCTTTGAACAACATGAATCGAGCCCAAAAGCGCCTCGTTCGAAAACACCCGACTATCTCTAGCATCTATGCAAGAAGTTATGCAACTGTTGGTAATCCGCACAGCATCTGGGCTGAAATGATTGTATCTGCTGTTTCATCTCACCACCAAGCCTCGTGGCCTCGCGAATGCATTCAATCGAAACCGTAGCTGACTGATCTGGACGTGTGCCTTGATGTAGTAACCCATTTGGACATTTTGTCAACAATGAGGGAAGATAAACACACAAACATGATCAAACAGAGATGAACCATTTGAGTATTCCTATACACCAAAGTGCTGGAAATTACGAGAACAAGTGATTTAGATTTATCCAAATGGACAGTCATGAGACAGCAACCAAAACCGGCAGAGGAACGCGTGTGGCTGGTCAATCGTTGTAAGGATTGGATTGATTTGGACTCTCCGAATTCCCTCGCCCTCTACACACACATGCAAACCAACACCATCCCCAATTATCTATCTCAACATGTGGTTACTGACTGGTATGAACAACAGTCCCTCCGTCTACTGACACCGATTTCCATGTGCACGAGAAAAACTCAGTTTTTATTTGAGTTAAAATATTTCTGAGAGTCTTCTTGGGTTGTTCTCGTAGACACACACACTGACTGTATGATGTGGCCTGAAACTTAATTCATTCATTTATCGATAGGTGAGGAGACCCAAGACCTTTTGGATGTTTTGCCACGACATAACTATCTCCTCTGCTAATCGGGATTTGCATAGCCAAGTCAAAGCATGCGGATATGCAACGGTGTGGTTGTATATCCACACTGTTCATTCGTCCCCAACGCTCCTAACTACTAATTAAAATTTCCAGAGAGTTGAAAAACTTTGCATTTATTTAACAAAAACAAATGCATCTCACATGATTTGCTTGATAAGACACGACTTGTCCGAACAATGAGGCAGATTGATTGGCACAAGGTCATTCGCTTCCCGTGTTTCTCAGGCTGGGAAACGCACACTGGATGACGGGATGAGTCACTCAGGCCGTGAGCATGTGTGCGTGCACGCAGATTTAGACCATTGGCTAACAGGGTTGCCACAAAATCCGAATGACGGAATAATTCTGCCTTGAAGTGTGTCGAGTCCACCTTCTTCGTTCTCAAAGCCCGAATAGGGGCGTAACTGCAAATTTGTGAATAAATTTTACTTCAGCACTAGAACAACATTGATGTATGTGGGAACACCAATCTGTACGAGCAACTTCGTCAGTTTGCCGAAATTTATTGACTTTTCCGGACAATATTTGTCCTACGCTTCATTGAAATTTTGTTGAAATCTATCAGGAACTTCAACTTTTACGAACTTGTAGACTTTTTTTTCCAGAAAAGAACGATGAGGTGTCTACCTACCAATGGGACCAATGGTGGCTGGTGTTATTTGATCTAGCCTTACATAGACTGGGAACCAAATCTCGAACTGCTTCAGATCGTCCGATTCGAACTGATTTAAATTTCGAATCAATCTTTTTTTCATATGATAATTGGTTCATTTTTTACATTTACGACTGAAGCCCTGGATCATCATCATGGAGACGAACTGATCGCTGATTATTTTTTTCAATATTATGCGTCAATGTAGATTTAGAAGTAGTCCAAACCTCATGGGATGTGTCAGGCTTTCTGGCAGTAAAAGTGAGCAAATTATGCATGGAGTTTGATCTAATTTGGTGCAGTAGATAACTCATCCTAGAATGCAAATCCCGGGGGAATTCATTTCCATCATGGTGTCGCAGTTCAACGGGAATCCAGGTTGTGCTTCCCAAACTGCTATGGTTGCAACGACAAAACCTCTGGGGTAAGTATGCTTCTACAACCCGCAGAATGTGGTGTATGTGGCTCAGAAAACATATGTTCTTTTCGTTGTGAGGGGAAAAATGTTAAATGCTGCCACCCACCCCTACACACGGCATGAGTGGATTTGCCACCGTCAGTTCACTCCATCTGGCTTGAATCACAAATCGTTCATTCGCGGATTGAGAAGTGGACTATGCGATTCCCGAACCATTGAGGGAATGTCCCTCAGAAAAGATGCAAACATTGGAAATGAAATGAAAGAGACGCACAAAAGAATTGGGATGCCACGAAAAATCGATGTGATGTGCTTTCATGTACTATTTCATCCTGGGAGACTGCCAGAGGCACGCCAAAATTGCATGTACACGACTGTCTGGGATTTCTCAAATTTAAGTCATTATGTTGAATTACGCAAAAAGCTAGTTTTAGAGTTATTGCAATCAGCATCGTTGTCTCCAGCAATTCATATGATCAAGAACATTGTGAGCTGAAGTTCAGACATTAGCTAGGTAGGGAAAGTAGGACTGATTCCAATCCCCACTGATTCACTACCAGTTTTGCACGAAGAGAAGAACAGTTGGATCATTTGGCTTTATGCAATAATGCAGCGTAATCGAAGTAACATTTCATAATTGAACTCCATTTTCTGACACTGAATTTGGTAATATTCAACACAGTCTACAGGTCAGTTCCTACAGCATAGTTCGCTCCAGAATTATAAAGAAAATTGCTCGTATGATTACCGCGTCGTTTTGACCCAGTGGTGGTTCCCTAAGTAGAGGAATTGATCAAGCAAGCGAATTGTGTAATCAACAGCCCGGATTTCAGGACAACGATATTTCGAACCACGGATCGATCATGTTCGCAGATGGCTAAAACCGCACATCAATCGACAAGTTCAAATCATCATGGAGGAACGAGAAAAGGTCTAACACTCTATGGTCTACGTTGTCATTCTG